AATAATTATAGGGGAAATAGATTGTCGTGGCTAATGTTTCGGGAATTCCCAGCTTATTGATTGATGATTAATTGTTTTTTTTTTCTTCCTGAATATATATAAATATATCGGTTCTATTTACACAAGATTTTACTATCCCAAAAAGAAGGTCAGACTCAAAGTTGACAAAGTAAAAGGATATACAGTAAAGAGCGATTATCCACAAATAGAACTTAAGGGGTGGGGTTTACAGATATATATTTTTAATTATCGTAAAACTCAGATGTACACACGACTTTTCAATATGATTACTTGCTTGCTAAATTCACACCTCTGTTTTGAAATTACGTACAATATTTATTGAAAACCAATATAAATATCTGGCATAGTGATGTATGCCGCAACTCTAATCTATTGTTCTAAACTTAGAAGCCTTTCCTTCCACCCATAAATGTATACAATACTCATTTACCCCAAATATGTGTAGAATAAGTAGTATGAAGAAAGCATGAAAAAATAAATTATTTATTTTTATGAACTGTAAAGTACTGATAAAGTAAGCTATTGAAAAGACAACGCTGAAAATAACAAAAAGTGAGCAATCTCAAAGAATCCTACAGATATTCTTCTAAGTGTAAGAGGGTAACCCCCTCCTCCTCACCACCACCATCACAACCAACCCAAGATGACGTATTAATTCCAGATCACTTCTTTTGCAGTGCAATTAATGTTCTTTAACGAAAATTCACTGTAAAATCTACAACTTTCAAACAAAGGTGAAAGTAATCTTTATCAATTAACATATACTTTTATATACATGTACTTTGTTTAAATAGTGAATAACATTTCTGCAATGCTTTCTTTCATTCCAGATTGTGATTTTATTTTCTTCATTTCTTTTTCTTAACTTCTTTGTACTTTTATATGGCACCTGGTCCCACCTCTGATGTTTTGGACGTCCGTGTTTGCTTTCCTCCTAATTTGTATTGTTTTATGGATTTTGATTTTAAAATCTGTTCGTTATCTCCATAACCTTAATGATATACATGTATGTATAAGTTAATTTGAAAATCAGATAAATCTAAGCTTAAAGAGTATTGCTTTCTTCTTTTGAATTTTAAAGTATGGCGCTAGATATGCTGAAACGTTACTAAGTAAGTATATGATTCCCTGTGAAGGTAAATGTTTTGAACTTTATGTAAGTAATAGATTGTTTATCCAACATGTTAGCTTTTCAGAATTTGAACTACAACTATTGTTAATAATTTCTCATATGTTTCGATTTTCCTTAGTGGGTTATTCGAGGGAATGCGTAACTAACCCTTTTCTCCTTCTTAACATAATTATGTTAATGGAGTTTAATTCTTTGTAGTAGATCGTTATAAGTGATAGAATAATTAGGTGAAGTGCTTTCATAATTCATGCTTTCCATAATTATTATCAAGAAAGAATTAAACTGGATGGAATTTAACATTCCGCCTGTCTTCGGTATTTCTTTAAAAATCTCATGACTAAGCTCGCTTTCCAAGAGGAAATATTCTGGAATAAGAATTCTATTTTTATGTTAATACAAATAACACTGACCTGCTCATTTACTTATTATTATTATTATTATTATTATTATTATTATTATTATTTTTTGGCGAGACAAGAGTCGCATTAGGTACGATTCAACTCAATTACTTTGAAAATATTTTATTGAATAATCCAATAATACGGAAGCGTATTAGTGCCACTTGCATACTTTACTTTTTTTTTAATTTCGACACTTTAATCTGTAAATTTTACACTTTAAAGTGTAAATTTTACAATTTAATCTGTAAATTTTACAATTTAATCTGTAAATTTTACACTTTAATCTGTAAAATTTACAGATTAAAGTGTAAATTTTACACTTTAAAGTGTAAATTTTACACATTAATCTGTAAATTTTACACTTTAATCTGTAAATTTTACACATTAATCTGTAAAATTTACACTTTAATCTGTAAATTGTACAGATTAATCTGTAAAATTTACACTTTAATCTGTAAATTTTACACATTAATCTGTAAAATTTACACTTTAATCTGTAAATTTTACACTTTAATCTGTAAATTTTACACTTTAAAGTGTAAATTTTACACATTAATCTGAAAAATTTACACTTTAATCTGTAAAATTTACACTTTAATCTGTAAATTTTACACTTTAATCTGTAAAATTTACACTTTAAAGTGTAAATTTTACACATTAATGCTAAATTGACTATGTGAATAAACAAATAAAGTGTAAATTTTATAGATTAAAGTGTAAAATATACACTTTAAAGTGTAAAATTTACAGATTAAAGTGTAAAATTTACAGATTAAAGTGTAAATTTTACAGATTAAAGTGTAAAATTTACAGATTAAAGTGGAAAATTACAGATTAAAGTGAACATTTTACAGATTAAAGTGTAAATTTTACAGATTAAAGTGTAAATTTTACAGATTAAAGTGTAAAATTTACAGATTAAAGTGTCGAAATTAAAAAAAAGTAAAATGTGCAAGTGGCACTAATACGCTTCCGTAAGTTTCAGAGGTAAAACATCAAAAATCGACCGTTTAGGTTGTTCAAAATAAAGTGTAAATTTTACAGATTAAAGTGTAAAATTTACACTTTAAAGTGTAAATTTTACAGATTAATGTATAAAATTTACAGATTAAAGTGTAAATTTTACACTTTAAAGTGTAAATTTTACACTTTAAAGTGTAAATTTTACACTTTAAAGTGTAAAATTTACAGATTAAAGTGTAAATTTTACAGATTAAAGTGTAAATTTAACAGATTAAAGTGTAAAATTTACAGATTAAAGTGTCGAAATTAAAAAAAAAGTAAAGTGTGCAAGTGGCACTAATACGCTTCCGTACAATAAGGATTGGGCAACAGGCAAAGCACATAATAATCAATAGGCTTATAATGAAAAATCAAGTATTATTCATCAGTTTTGTATATTTATATAAAAGATGACAACCCTCTAATTGTATACCAATTACACATATTCCCAAAGGAACGGGTGTGTAATCAAATCAAAAGGGTCTTATAAGTTTTAATAGCAAACTAAAATTAATAACGAATCTAATTTAGAAAAGTGTTCGCAAATACCAGATTCCGGAGGATAAATAAAATTCACGACTGCTTAATTCAACGTAAGGTACTGATCGCTCTCTCTCTCTCTCTCTCTCTCTCTCTCTCTCTCTCATAAACTCATACGTAATATTTAGCTCTTGAAAAGCAAACCATCTATTCGTCTATTCAAAAAGTTTCTTTAAAGTCATATTTGAAATTTTTTATCCTCTCCGGCCTCAAGATATGCAAATTGGGTCGGTAGTTAAGGAGGGGAAAAATCCCAGAAAAATTCAGTGTTGGATATTCTCAATTTATTGAATTGTACGTGTTATTTAAAAAGGTTCTGAATTATAACAAATTGATAAACTTTATTCCAAAACAATTTTAATATTTACATTAACACCCTCCCACTACATTTTAAGATGCGCATTGCATTTCCCATTCACAACAACATGTTTTAAAGGAAATGTGTTTGGTAACACACACACACACACCCTTCTTTTCGCTTTATATATCAGTTGGAAGTTGATGCTGACAAATATTTACAGATATATAATTTTATTGATTTATTTTTTTACGAAAATCAAAAATGTAACATAGATGCGCAAGTTTCAGCTAAGGAAAAGCTGCGTGAATATTTTTGGGGAGAAAATAAAAATTGGCAGGTTTGTGTCATATGGCTAAATCATTTTTCGAAACAAAGGACAGCTCGACATGCATTCGATATATCGATATATAAGAGATTGTCAAGTGCAATGGTTTATTTTACGATATATCCCGGTGAGCTTTAAATAAAAGATGCCAAAGAGTCTGACACATCTATTTCATATTTAGATATTTTACTTGAAAAAGACGTTAATGGTTATCTAACTACCAAGCTTTATGATAAACCTGATGACTATTTATCTTTTCAATCGTCAACTTTCCTTACTTGTGCAGCAATATACCTTCACTGCATACGGAATTTATATATATCTGAATTGATTTGATACACAAAAGCATCCTCTACGTTTGAACAATTTCTAAAACAACTAGAAAGTCTGCTATTGCAAGCAATAGCGTATGTCGCCCCAGACTGGACAAGACTTTCATTTTTGTGTCACTAAAATAATACCTATTAGCTAAGCTTTGACAACCATCAATTCGTATCAGTCCTTTCAGTACTTTGATTTAGAAATCAAAATTAAAGTATTTTCACTTTCCACTGGTTTCCATGGCAATAATCGATTATTTGAAAATTTTAAATAAGAATCGCACAACACTAAAATAAAAAAAAATTCATAACGAACGATCAAGGGACCAGAGAGAACACTCGCGGACAAAATTCGTCCCTTTTTGCAGGTTTCCATGGCAACGGTAGCCATTTTGAAACTGAATGACCACACAACACAACAACAACCAGTTGTCGTACTTTGAGGGAAGTTTTCAGGAATATTGCCCCAGCCATCTCCGAGAAACTGCCTGGATAAAAAAACATGCGTACAATCGCAATATGTTTGATCGACTTCGTTCGGGCGACATAATTAACAAATTGCTGAAACAAGAATATCAATCAAGAGTCTCGTTTAAAGTCATAATTTCGTTAAGTTCTATGACCTTGTCAAGAAATAGTGATTATTGTTAAGTCAAATGCTGACTGGCGTTTTTCATACTACTTGTGAGGTCATTTTATTTCCCGAACGTGACAAGGAGCACACGGCGGGTTTGACCGGTCAGTAGGGGATGGTCGTACCTCCATGATACCTGATTCCGCTTCTGATTTTTTGGAGGTTCGTAATTTTTATGCTTCATGTGTATTGTGTATATGCTTCTATGTATTGTTAAGATGTTTGAGCTTGAACATTGTACGCTATCTTCATGTTTCATTTCATGATTCACTTATCCTTACGTAGACTATCTTGAACATTTTAAAATAAAAATATAAAAGTTAAAATGAAAAATTTCATGAAAAAAGTCACAATTACAAGTATGTTCAACAAGAACATTTTCGATGCCATTCTGTTCAAACACATTCACACTATCCATGGGCACTGCACATCATACATGTTTTTCAATCATACGGTTTGTTACTTTTTTCTTTGGATAGTCCAATTTTTTTAAGTTTGTTAAAAAAGCGTTTGGTAAAGCTTGTAGCCTTGGGTGTCTGTGCTTCTTCCGATGTCGTCTGTTTCCTGTCTTCCCGCCTTTGAATGACCTTGCGGACGATGCCAACTAGGAGTTCATCGATGTTGTGGTTAAGGACGACAGACGTTTCTGTATATTTACATCTATACTTGTCTGCAATCTTCTGGGCCTCTGAAAAAAGTTTAAAGCGTATATACGATTTTAAAATTGTTACACAGTCTGCAGCATCGAGAACAAAAAAGGAAAAACCCTCAAAGGGCGTACATGATACATTTTCTTCAAGATTTTTTTTATTGGTATAAGCTTCTTCTGTCAACATGGTAAATTCTCTTTTCGATATTTTTTCAAGTAAATTGTAAAACTTTTGAATTTTGCATGCAGTTTTATCTGCATCTAATTCAATGAGCAAATTATGTTTACCTCGTTCGGAAACTGTTCTGTTTCTAGCTAAATCGCATTTGTTTCCTACCAGAAAAATGGGAGAGTTGTATTTCATCTTGTCTCGAATGATTTCGATTTTCTTGGTTGCATATAAAAATGAAGAAGCATCAACGACAGAAAATACTGCCACAACTGCATCCACTAGAGATGTTTTCTGACTTTCCTGTGAAAAAACAATATTAGCATGTATAACGTGAAGACAATAATATACTAGAACAGATAAGTCGATGCTTAAAAGAGATAGGAGGAATTAAGCAACTAGTCAATACCCCCACGCATCCCATGAGGCATTTTTATTGATAATAAATTAATGTCTTCAAGGACCCTTAAAGACATTTGATCCTCCCTAAGAAAAAATAAATCATTCCATAGTTCTTAGAAAGTTAGCTATATACAGGAAATAAACGGTTTTCGAATGAGAAATCTAATCATCAACCCATCCTTTTTACCTCGGAACGAAATATATGCGCGTTTTTGTGTTTTAGTTTTCTTACACAAACTTCCGCTATACCCATTAAGTTTTTAAGATTCCAATGTGTCAAAAAACAGAAACATTCATTATCTTAACAATGAAAACAAAAACTAACTGTAAAAGTCACTATGAAGTCTAGTAAATCTTTACGTCCTTGCAATCACTACCTAAAGAGTAGTTTTTACTAGGTATTGGATAGATTAACTAGATAATATTAGTAAGTCTAGAATTAATAAGTAACTTTCACTTGGAATCTATTCGACCCCAACTCCTCGGAACACCTACCATAATTACCCCTATATCTTAGCCAGTAAACAGAATGATTACTAGTACTAATCACGACGAACTCTTTACGCTTTACGAGGCACACTAGTTAAATTAACCAAGTACTTCTAAGTGTATTCGTATGCCAGATTTCATAAATTTATGCAATTAATGAAGCAAGTCCAAGGAATCTTTGAGAAACAATAACTGTGAAAGTGCGAAAGACTTGGACAGTTTTCTATTCTTAGAACTTTCGAACTTATTTTATTTTGGGCATTTCGGTTTTTATTAAGTGATATAGGAAGATCAACGTCTGTGTATGTTTAGTAACACGGTTCTTAAACAATGAACAGTTATATATGTACGCAACGTACACACAATAAAAAGCTATAAATTACACAGAAGCACAGTATATAAATCTTCGTTAATCAAAAGGCATTTTTATTAATCTAATTTGTCTTGTAATGAAGCACAATATATTTTATGGTGACTGGATCTCAGCAACAGCGAAATATTTAGCAAATGTTTCGTTAGAAGTGAGCCAAATATATATTAAGATTCCGCATTCAAGAAATGTATCATTACTTTATTCTATGTATTCTATGGTAATGAAATATATGGAGATGACGAACAGTATTCAAGCTCAAAGTCCAATAAACAATAAAAAAAAATAGGAGTAGAGCAAACAAGGACCTCCAAAGTGCTACAAAAAGTTTTTTTTTTTATTTTAATTATTTTTTTCAAATGGGCAATAACATCCAACAATAAGATTTATTATATTAAATATGACGGTTGATATCTGTATCCTAACTCATATCAAAATGTTTTATAGAAACAAACAAACAAAAACGTGGCAAGTTCTTGATGGTATTAAGAATGAAAAAATTTGGAATGTTCTTGTAGTTATTCACTAACACATTTACAGCAACAACATCTCGCAATCTTAAAAATAAGATCGGTTAATAATTTCATTGCCAGGGCACTTATTTTTTTTTTTAAACTAAAACAATTATAACTCAATCAATTGGAAACGATAAAAGTTTTGCTTAAGGGCTGGAACTATATGCGACTAATGTAGGTATTTGTGGAAATTGGAACAGTAGTGCGAACGACTTCCTCTTATGGGAAACGAAGACAAATAATCAATAACTATAAAAGGAAGGAAAAAACATTTAGTGCACTTGATGCAACCCTCCGGGAGAGTGGAAAATGATTATATTGTAACAGATTTGGGAGAAAATAGGTTTGTCATCCTGGAAACGTTCATTTACTATTGCGTAACAATACGATAAACAGGTAGAGGGTGATTTGAATTTCCAAACATAGGTAATGGTTTCAAAAATAGATGTGGGGGTTTCTGGTTTGATAATCCTATAAAATTGGTGTAAAATATAAAAGTTAGATAATAGTTTAATGATTTCTATATTTAAGGCTTAATGTCGTTTTCATGTTTTGTTAATCTTTTACACATTGTTCTTGCATGCATTTTATGCCATTAAACAAATGTTTGGGTACATGTAATTTGGATCAAGTATTTTTAGAGACGATTTATTTCATTGAAAATAATTAATACTTATAAACATATGGATCTTCATGTATTTTGTGTACAGGTATTCAAATTTTTAACATTCACAAGAGACAATTTTTAAAACACTTAAATATATTAGTCAAGAAAAAAAATTTAGGTACCCGATGACTTATTTTAGCCAAGATAATCATTGGCAATAGGATAAGTAAATGATTATCCATTCCAAAACTACAATGGATGAGTCTTATTTACAGAAGGGAGTACAAGAGAAAGCGATGTTTCCAACAAAGCATATGACATGACTTTGTTATGTCATCTGGAATTGAACATTTGAGCTATGCTACTTAGGTCTTATGTTCAACTCTCTGTGCAGTGTTGTTCTGTTACATCACAAGAATTTGGCTCTTTCTTCTCTTTTTCTGTTACAAGTGGTGCAACGTGTCGTTATATGAGCTGATCACATTCTATATACGTATCTCAAATCTATTTTATTAACATTTTTCTTAGTTGACTTGATCATGTCATTCCATGCACCATTTCATATTTACTTACCATAAACTCAGTTTCTTCAACAAACTGCACACAAAATTCATCTTTATTTAGTAGAAGGAAAATATCCTCCGGCGATTCAGCTTCTTCTAAGATGAAGATGTAAATGATAAAATTAATACTTTGTACTGATAAGATCCAGAAAAATGTCTTTTGTTTTTGGACTATATAAAATATTGCATATTTAAAACACATACCTCTTTGGTGGTTTAAGTATATTTCCTCCGACGTTGAGAACTGGCTTTTCAATGTATGTATTCCTACTTCATCGCGTCCAACCAATGCCACCCTGACAACTTGGACAACACGTGGCGTTTCATTGTCAGCGCTCACTGAGGCTTCGACACTGCCGTCACATTTCTCACAAGAGTTTATACTGATAGTACTCTGTCTTCGAATTAAGTCCCCACGGTTCTTTAAACCATCCCTAGTTAAGTGGAATGACCGCACCCTCTCTAATGGACGTGTTTCTGGGGGTGCCAAGAACATTTTTGGACTTGCCGGACTTGGCAAGCTATTACGTCGCGCCAAGTTGACATCCAGTCGAACATGGTCAGGTTTTTTCAGCTTAAAAGAAGACGCCCTTTTAAATCCTGATTCTGACATCTCCTCGGGAGGGCGAAGAAGCCCCACGGGGTCCTGACATTCTTTACGACCTTTCTCCGTTGACATAGCGCTGCGTCTTTCGTGTTTATTGTTGTTATGTTGCAATATATAGTAGATTGCAACAATATTTGATGCATCTGGGAGGTGTAGTCAAGAGTGAATCATAAGTACGCGTCAGTTGCTGAAACATTCTTGTTTGTGATGGGTGCTTGAGATTGGTACTTCCCCCTATAGCATGATTTACATCGCATCTCATTTATCTATATACCTGCAATTCGTCATGAAAAAGATCTTCATGTACTCTAATGAGTTTGAATTCTAGGACGAAATAATGAGGAGTTTATCGATACAATTTTTAATAATAAATGATTTCTAAAATTGACTCATTCACCGGGTTAAATGACAATAGATATAATCGATTTTTACTGTATTGTTATGTTTGAAAAAACGCAATTTAATTATTAACAATTTCAGAGCACAAGCCAAGAAACCTTCTATTTCTTGAATGATGGTGCCATTTTTAGTTTCCTGCTGTGATGCATTATTTTCGTATTACAAAGGAATGACAAATATTCACGAATGATGCTATTGGTGTTTCTAGAACGTTGAGATATGTACTGAGCTTGAGGCGTTTTCGGCACACCCATATAATTTACACATTTATGCGTGCACATGGCATCTACTATTATTAATAAAATCCCATGAATTATTTTTTTTTCATATAAGAATTTTTCGAAATTTTATTTTATGCAATGGTTTTAAGGGATTTCGTCACATAATTTTACGCATAAAACATCACAAACTCGAAATGAAATTTTTTAAAATATTTTTATTATAAAGGTAAAAAAAGAAAACAAAAATGGAACAAGATAGATACAATCAGTATAAAAAAGATAAAACAGAATTGATCAGGATTCCTCCCGTCAGAATCCCATCAAACACACGAAGATCATCCAAACATTCTTATCGTGACTCAGAGCATAATCTTTCACCTTTAACATGTCAGTTTGTGCCGATCTCTGTTATTCTAGTACATACTGTACATACATTCAAACCATAGTCATAACAACCAAGCATTCATCAATGATATGTATAAACTACGTCTATATGCTTTGCTGGGAACAATTATCCTATCATTTATTTCACACATCAAATAACTTGGTGCACGAAAGTTCGTGGTGTCCGATTTTCATCAGTTTTTGTAGAAGTATTTTCGTAAACATGGATGCTGTTTTAGGGTCTTTCGTCATATCTCCGTCTGTGTTGTAAGTGTAGCTGTGACGTCTGCTGCGAACCTGACGTATTATTCCCGCCAAAAGTTGATCCATATTGTGGTTCAAAGCCACAGATGTTTCAATGTATTTGCAATTATATCTGGTCGCTACTTTTTTGGCGTCTGTAAAAGAGAAAATGAATTACATTAAAAGCCTATTCTTTACAAAATGAAAATGTATTGTAAACAATTATGAAATAAAGAAATTTTATTTTTAAGATACATCCGTAATAAATTCATATAAGCGTTAAAACGCACACTTATTTTTCGGATTCTAAAATGTTATTTATAATTATTGCTCGTCTTTAAGGAAAGACAAGAATTTGTAGATGTAAATCTGACTCTTCTCAGATTTTAATCCAGTTTCATTTCCGTACCTTTTTCTGTAATAGCTCTCTGCCTTGCCAGGTCGACTTTATTTGCAACAAAGAACAATGGTTTGTCGAATCCAATTTCCTGTCGTATCATTTCTATTTTTCTTGTTCCGTTTTTAAAGGATCTGGCATCAACAACGGAGAAAACCACCACAATGGAATCCACCAACTCATTTTCTGCTTGATTCTACAATCATATTAAGATCAACGTAAGTTTTTTTTCTGAGTATTATAATTTTAACTTTTTAATCTTATAATATTATATGCTTTTCTTTTTTTTTCAAAGCGTATACCATTATTTTTTTTTTCTAAGTTTTTAATCTAATCGTGTAAAAATTAACACTAAACATTTGTAACAGTAATGTTTTTTTACGTCTCTAGAAGTCCCTATTTTTTTTTAAATTTCAGTCAGTTATCTTTTGAATCAAAGTATGTTTAATTATAAAGAGTAATCCAACGTATTTAATAAACCGACATTTTTACATCCTTTATTATTTATCTCCCTGACCTGGACCTTTATTCTAAACAAATTTGAACCGCCTACTGCACACTCAAATATCCTTTTCCGATATCTTCTAGATCACAAGTGTGATATATTAAAAGTAATCAATCGACAGACAGACAGACGACAGATAAACTCTCACGCGAGCCGCCGGATTACGTGAGCAACAAGCTTAAAGGTTTTTTCATATATTCGATCAATGCATACTATTTTTGCAAGATATATAACTGTATTCAGCGGCAGCTCACACATATTGGTCCGACCAAAATAATTCCATCATGATAAGTAGATACAACATTATTGTTCATGATAAGAGTATTTAGTTGTGTATGTCATACGTTAAAGAAATAAAAAATAACGTCAAAATATCATTAGATGCAAATAAAAAATATCAATATTCCTACGCTCGCTCCCTCCTCAGCCTTTTTTTTTTTTTTTACATGTTTGATAACAGAGAATAATTAGGTCATTCTTCGATTCATATCTTTTCACCGATGAATTGATAATACTATATCAACAATTGTATTAAGTACATGTTTATAGCCCGTTAATTATCATACAATTTGTTCTTAAAGAAAAAAATAATCATTCTGTGTATGTGTATTATTAAATGACGGAATTTTCAATCCCTGGCCTGCTCGTGTGTGCACTCTGTAAACTGTAGGGTATGTGTGGCAGAACGAGAACTGGATTGGAGATTCGGGTTTGTGTTGAAGTTCAGCATATACCATTATATATAGAACTTGAATAATGTAAGTAATTTCTGCGACAAATACATTAGTATATTTCAGTTATTTTCAAAACAAAAAAGGTTTTCCATGTTTTCAGTTTAGAATTTTATGACCCGGACCTGATTTTCCCAACCCGGCCATTTTAAACACAAGTTGTTGCAGATGAAAATGTTAGAACAAACTATATATAGTTCAACAGGGATTGTATAATTTTTATTAATCAGAATTCGAGTTCTAACTGAACCGCTTAAAGTGATTTTTGGATGCGTGTGACAGCTCCATTGCAAGACCAAGGCTAAAATTGGTCTTGCGGACACAGGTACATGTAGGCCTATGTACTGTTTGTTAAAACCGTAATGCTATATAAATTTACAACAGTTCCATAATTAGACAATGCAGTTTTTTTTATTAACGTCATTATAAACACTGTTAAACATATTAAATCTAACAGTCGAATATCTTTGGATATGGGGTAACCCATATCTATTCTTGTTATGAATGAAATGGAGTAAAAATGTTATGTGTCAGTTCCCTGAGTTCGTTGTAGGTGTATTTGAGAACTACGTTTTAAAGCTTCATACACGATTATATAAATAACAAGATCATGCCCTGCTTTATCAGAGAAGTATTTTTGTCCTTATTACCTATCTTCATTATAGAAAATTAATGATATTAATAATTATCATTTGTATATATAATTCCCACACAGATACGGCAATCACATGCACGATAATACCTTACCCAGTTCTAAATACAATTCATTTGAGAAATCTTAAACACACGCAGAAATATCATACGAACGTACTTTCTATCTCGGTAACGCTTTCCGTGACTTTGTGTATTTTATATTTCTGTTTTTATCAGATTTATTACATGTTGGGCGATCACAATGGCGTAATGCCCGCTGATATCAGCTTACCGCTAACTCTGTTTCATCAACAAACATCACATATGACTCTTCGTCATCCATCAGAACGCAGATCTCATCTTGATCTTTCACATCTAAAAAAAAAAATAAAGCAAAACTTATTGGAAATGATAATAATAGCAACCTTGGAAAAATATTATATTCTTTTTGGGTAGATTTATTTTTTTTTTTAGCAGGGTTATTTTACAAATGCTATCATCGAAATTTGCAAAATTATGTGTAAATATAATTTAAAACTTTTTTTCTCCATTTTGAGACAAATAAACTTTACTTTTCCTTTTGACTCTACTTACATCATCAGTATCTTTTAAATTAAACAAGATACTTATCTTAGTAAAATAAAGTTACTATGGTCATCTCAAAAATAGTTTGTTTGCCCTCGAAGACCGACTGGCTAAAGCAGTTCGACTCAAATACTTTTTTCAACCTCTGGGAATTAAGGTTTTTTCTTTTCAGTACTAAATTTTCTAATTCCGACAACACATATACAATTATGTTGAAATTTCTGAAAAATAAAGATCTTCTTATCTACCCATTGACCAAATTTTTCAACAAACATTATTTTAAAGATGACCCAAGACGTTTCTCATAATTTGACATCCTTGTGGAACTAACCGTTAATAATTGTATTCCTACTCACCACGATTGTTAATGTAGAGTTCTTCTGAAGTTGAAAATTGATTTTTGAGAGATTTTTTCCCGACGCCTTTGGACCCAATAATGGCCACCCTTAGCTGTTGTTTCAGACAGATGCTTTCCATGGATGACGTTGCTCCAGTAGAACATGATTCGTATCCCTCACTGGTTGAAACGCTAGATAAACTGTGTGGTCTGAATTTGTCCCCACAGTTTTTCAGTCCATCTCGTGTTAAACTAAAGGATCTTACTCTTTCCAAACTCGGTGACCGAACAATTGACTCGATTACAGTAGGACTTGGTAAACTGTTCCTTCGTTTTATCTTTGGTCGAACTGCTAAAGATGTAGGTCTCTCAATCCGGAGAGATGAAGATCTTTCCACTTGTTGCGACTTTTTGACCAAAAGCGCCTGGTATTGCAGCTTTTCAAGCTGTTCCATGGCTGAGAACTTCGATACAACTTTCTCAAGATACAAAGTTTAGGTAAATATGCACTCTCTACTTCTCTTTAAGATATATATACCCTATCTCCCAAACAGCTGACTCACAGAGTCTATGTTATAGCTGACGTCTGATATTCTAAGGTGTGCAGAGATGATACACTAATTCACTGAAGGTTATACGGGGAAAAAGAAGTCGGTTGCGGATAAAACATTAATAATCAAAATAAATAATATCACATGAACTTATCGCCATGTCTTACAGAGCGTTTTTGGATTTTGGATTATGCAATTGTATTCAGTGCAGATCACTTGATATTGGTGGATTGCTTTAAGATTCTTGAGGTTCAGGGTGTCTGCAAAATTTCTTCAACCAATTCACTTTAGAAAATTTCTTATCCCAAGTTAATTGCTCTTGATAACTAGATAAATGAATTTTCAGTTTAAGCGCCATCTTATGAATTACAATTTTTTCCGCTTATTTTTCCTTTTATCTCTGCTTTCAATATTTTACAATGTTGTTTTCTTATATATATATTTGATAGTTGTGTGAACAGTATTTCCAACACATCCAGAATTATAATTTTGTATGCTACTATTAAATAAATTTGAAATTTAGATGAAACATTAAAGAGTTTAAACAATATTTGAAATGATGTAATTAAATTTATGGACAAACAAGTGGAGGAAACAAGAATATCAACAATCTTGTTTAACGTCAGCATTTGTAAGTCTAATGGTCGATACATGTACAAAGACCATGTTAGCAAATACAATCTTTTTTCATATGAATTCTAAGGCCATTATCTAAACACCGAATTCTTGACGGATTTTTCTGTTAAATTCCGACCATGACAAGGAACACTTGGAGGGTGTGACCGGTCGGCAGGGGATGCTCACTTCTCCATGTCACCTGATCCCCCATTGATGTTTAAGAGTTCCATTTTTGATCTGCTCCTGATTTTAATTGTTTGAATTAACTTTTGAGCTTGAAATTTTAAAAATTTGGATTTTGGATGAGGTGTCATGGAGGAGCAAGACCGATTACAGCCCATGTGTTCGGCGTGTGCAGCAAGTCTCCATCCCCAACCACTTCTCTTATTGTTCCTTCTGATCTGTAAAACTAAAGTTCAGATTAAAGGCTGTAACAGGGTCTGTTACCTGTATTGATTATTTATTATCAATTTTTATATTTTTATTATTCGTTGGTTATTATTATTCATCAATCAAAATTCCGAAGTTTCAACAATAACGCCTTGCAATAAGCTATATAATTTCATTGTTTGTATACTGAACATTTGTACTGGTCATTAATCAGTAAATGAGTAGTAGTAAGGTAAACGAGTGCTTAGTCTTCACACTAAAGTACCAAGATGACTATGTTTACCTCAAGACTGATGTAAGTAAACCTTTGCCAATTACAAAGCAGACAAACACACAAATATCTGTGTTAATCAGGGAAAATGACTGATAATTTGAGATTTGTGGATTTGCACGTAAACAAGGTTATATACATGAAGGTTGGTCAGTAATAACTTGTCATGAACATAATCTTATCTATTATATTTTTGCGCAATGGTCAGTTTGTGCAATAAACATCAACAAATTAAGCATAGGGGTCAGTTGTTTTGATCATCTTTGCATTCTTCTTTCGCTCTTTCTACCTTTGTTTATACAATAATTTGTATGATTTAATCAGGCACCAAGGCCATGAAATGAAAACAGGCTAAAGTCGAAATTACAAAGGTTTACATCTTATAACACAAAGCAAAAGAACAGAAAAAGAAACTCATCTCGTGTTTATATTTTAAAGCTATACAATTTTGCAATGCTTAAAACTTGTTTGTTAATGAAAATCAAGATATGCTAGATCTAATTTTTTTTTTACAGAAGTTTATTTTCATTAAATGGTCATGAAGTTTACTCAAATTTAATGACTTGTATCATTTTTAAAAAATTCTACAAATATAATTTTGCGTATTAGATAATGGAGTATGCTAAAACATAAATGAAGTGAAGGTTGCCTATCAAAGTATTCGGTAAATGAGAAAGGTCGTTGAAGGGTTAACCAAAAAGAGAACAAAAAAAAATGTCAATACGCGTGATTGTTGTTTACTGAAGAAAAAATCGGCTGATGGATGAGACGAATATTTATACATGTAAGAGGGAAGATGACTTTAGGCAGATGCCAGTATAGGTAAATTTGGGGGATTTCCGTGAAAAAACCCCAGTTTGTTTCTCTGAATTTCTCTGCATACATTTGTTAATTTTTTTCCCATAAAATATATATCTTTAAGAAAGAGCCCATGGTAACCAAAGAATTTTTGTTATAATGACTTTTTAATTTTATCAAGGAAAATAATAGTCAATGTACATTTTCATGCCAAATTATAAAAGGAATTTATTAAATGAACATTTTTAAAAATACAACGCTTTTAATCAAGCTGATATTTATGTATAATTAGTGTATGCTACTAAACTGCACTTCTACTCTATTGTTAACTTAAATATTTTATATATAATTAATATATAACTATGCATATTTTTGTATATAATTTAGTCCCTCATCCCTACTTTGCTACAACATACTCCAAGGCCATCCCCGATCTTTCATCGATTTCTTTTCACAATGTTCTCCATCATGTTTTCTTTGGTCATCCTCTGTTTTTCTTTCCTAATTGAGTCATCCTTTGACTACCCTTGACATAGCTATGTTTCAATTTCTCAGGAAATGACCAATCACTTCCTATTGCTTTTCTTTAATCTGGTTAGATATAGCAGCTGTTTTTTTTTTTCAACTCCCCCATTTCTGGTCTTGTTCGAGCAGAAAATTTAATTAAAGAGGCGGGGGAGGGACAAATTAACCATCAGATATATTTTATTTTAGATATGGTATCTTAAGCTGTCAACAATTATTTGCCATAGAAAAATTCCATACATTTTACTTTTAAAATTTGATCATTTCTGTGCATCTTTAATATAGTCTTAAAATGGCCACAACCACACAGCCCTCTTAAACATAAAATGCCCAAGTAAGCATATAGGACCAATGGTTCAATAATGAGAGTATCAGATATAAAGCCACTGCTCGTCTAAAATTAAGAATTAAATAAAAACTTTCAATGTAAAAGGTTTTTTCGAAAAAGAAACGGGTGGGGGGCTCTCAATTATGTACCAAAAGATTATTTGGCTAAAAAGGGAAATGCAAGCAAAAGCCTTTTTGTAGAAACCGCCGTTCAATTCTTTCTACGCTAAGAAGACATCGGGATGAAAACAGAGAATCATGTACCCTTTTGAACATTTACGGGAAACGACCAATAGTAGAAAAAATAGTATTGCTTCAGCCTTACATGTAAGCCGACTCTGCATGGTAAACCGGTTTTTGTGACAAAACGTCGTTTTTAACTTTTAACCCACACTAGTCCCCGGGATGAAATTGAAAGCTGTTTATATATAATGTGTTTCCACAGGGCACTACCGACACAATTTAAAAACACGATGTGTTACTGTGTAGCTAAAATGTAACAATTCTTTGAACTAAATTTCTTTCGAAAAATGTCGTTTTCAATCCTAGTAGGCCCCTAAAACAACTATGCAAATTAACTATGTATCCTTTGCACATATCTACATGGTGTACCAATATGAGCTTTATGCTGTTATTTGTAATCTGAGGTTATGAAACCAGGTTCTTGTCAATAAACTCTCTTTCGGCTACAAAAATTGCCCATAGAGAGAAAAAAATCCTTCGAAACTCTATATGTACAGGACACACCCTATATTACAAATTGGATACTGCTTAAAATGTGGGGAGTTTGTGGGAGGGTGACAGACGGACAAATCGCGATAACAATTATATCAGTTCAGTTTTTTGCCGGTATAATGAACTATATATAGCATGACTTAATAATGATAGATTTTTACCAAACAAACCCAGTAAAGGTAGGTTAATCTGTGGTAACTAGTGATGTCAACGATTTTTCTGTACTACTGGACTTTTATTAGTAGAAAAAATCTACCTCTCTCTCTTTAATGTTATATAATTAACTTCATAGTTTCTTATGTGAGAAGATATGAATAAAGGTGAAAAAATTGCCAAACCTGTCAATTAAGTCTTTAATTAGCAAACTTGGGTACAATTAGGCCTATGCAAAAGTCTCATTGATCTGTGAACGTTTTGTCATATGTTTTATAAGCTTATTCCTGTCTTTGATCCAGATCATTACTCTCTGACAAGACGAACAAAAAAGTATCTCAGATTAATGAACTATCATTAATGTACCATTAGCTTACCTATTTGAAAATGCACATTCTTTTAATAATTCAAGCTGTTGATGTTCAGAGCTTTCACCTTTGAGATACTGTTTAGGTTGACATGTCGTTTTACTCTTCATTGCTATTATGATAATATGCTTTCTCACATCTTTTTAAATCATCAGCATGTATTCTAAGGAAGGCATATTGGTGTTTACCCTAGCCCATCCACCCTCCTGTCACAATATTGCCTATATTTCTCATGTTTAAGCAGTTGCAAATTCGTATATTCGAATTGATAGAGTTGCAGTATAGATGTAAAATAAAGTTTCGGATGTGTTATTTTCATTCGTTGATCCAAGAGGGTGAATACATTATTTTTATGCAGTACCCAAAACACCTCTTGAAATGTAAAAAGTGGAATGATATCCTGTAGATATGCAACAAGATATCGATCATAAACTCTCAGAGGAAAACCAATTTGGGGTCGCAGAAACTTTCTTTCTGAAACTGCTTTTTAATCAAAATTACAACTTCATTTACTTATTTTAATTTCATATTGGTAATAAATATATATTATATGAAATGCAAAAGAAGTTCTTCGGGTACATTTTACTTTCATTTTGATATCAATATTTTTGAAGTTCTTCGGGTACATTTTACTTTCATTTTGATATCAATATTTTTGAAAGCTATCGTTATAAGAATAGTATGGAGTAAGGAGAGTGCATTTAAAGAAAACCATTTTCGTGCGGGTATTACTGTCTTACAGTACATATAAGATAGCATTC